CTGCCCTTGTATATGCAAGTGTTAAAACATAAGAGAAGTTTTGTTACTTATACACAGTAAGTATATTGTATATTTTATACATAGCCCAAAACAGCTCCTCTTCATTCAGTGCAGCTCAGGAGAGCCAAAAGGTTGGACACTTAGACAATGACTAAGCCACAAGTCAGACCAATGCTCTCATTTTGATTTGCAAGAACCTCAAAGGTATATCTTACTCTGGGTAACTTATGAGATGCTTTAACCTCGGTTGCAGATCAAACAAAATAGAAATATATAATCTATGAAATATTTAATTAACATTTAGTGCTAGACCAGGAGTTCCCAGAATATGGTTTCTAGAAAATTGGCATCAATATCATCTAAGAACTTGTTAAAAATAAAAATCCTTGGTCTGGTGAGATGGCTAAGTGGACTAAGCACCTGCTTTGGCAAGCGCAGGGGCCAGGACCCTCATGTTATGCTGGTCCACCCCCGGGGTACTCTGTGCCAGCAAACGATGGGTGTTGTGGGCAGGCCTGTAATCCCAGCACTGGGGAGGCTGAAAACAGGAGGATCACTATGAGTCCAAACTGCATAGTAAGACCCTGTACCAATTACACAAATGAAAAAAAAAAAAAAAAATCCTAGGTCCTCACCCTGAATTACTGAAGCAGACAGCTCAAAAACAGGGCTTGGGAGTCTTTTTTAACTTAACTCCTCAAGTAATCCTCTTACATTTAAGTTTTTTGTTTTGTTTTTTGTTTTTGGTGGTACCCGGGATAGAACTTGGGAACTTGTACTTGCCGGGTGTCTTAGTTACTCTTCTCTCGTTGCTGGGACAAAGACCCGACACTCAAAATGAAGGAAGGAAAGGTTTATTTAGCTCACAGTTACTGGAGGCTTCAGTCCATACTCAGCTGGGTCCAACACAGAGCAGCACACAGCAGAAAGCAACCTTTCATGGTGGAGGCAAAGAGCATGAGCACAAAGGAGGGGCAGCAGCAGCTAAGGCAGCTGGCTTCTCTTCCCACCTTACATTGTAAAGCAAATTACCTGCCCCAGGGCAGGTGCAGCATCCACACCCACAGTAATCAATCACAAACTCCAGAAGCCACCCCAAGACTGCATGAGGCTTTGGGGGGACACCTAGACACAAACCATAACACCAGGCAAGCACTTACTCCACTGAGTTAACTCCCTGGCTTCATTTAAGTTTTGAAAACCACTACTCAGGTAATATGTTATAGGCCTCAAATACAAATATGAATGACTATCCTTGCTTTTAATAATCTAGTAGAAAATGTTGGCATACAAAAATCAATAAATACCGTTAAAAATATAACAAGTACAAAATAATGTCACACAAAGCAGTACCTAACAGAATGGATAAAGTTTTCTATAAAAGGTCAAGTTTCATAGTTAGCCATTTGTCATGATTTGTATCTTGTTGTCTCCCCTACAAAACCTCATTTGGTCATGGGTGGGGCTTTTCAGTGGTGACTGGGTCCAGTGTGTGTGAGGCTTGGATCAAGTATTTGATGTTAGGATTGATGCATAGTGTGATGCTAGGATTAAGGCTGTGCTGACATGGGTGTGAGTGCTACCTGCCCTAAAAGTAGGTAGCTTGTTAATTGCTGATTGCTACTTTGATGCTTTTGCTATCTTCTGCCTGTCATGGACTGCTTCTCTTCAGCGATGCCCCTCTGCTATGCCCCCCTGGCTCGAAGTCAGCCGACTATGAACTGAAACCTGTACAAAGTGAGCCAAACAAGACTTTCCTTGTTTAACTTTGGGTATTCAGTAGTTTTTCTCAGCAGCAAGAGAAGTAACTAAAGCACCATTTTAAGAGTGGTATGTGTAGTTTGATCTCTACACCATCAAGTTGCATAGCAGTGTATCTAACCAACCATGGAGAAAAGAACTTCAGAAAAATAAAATGAGTCTATATGGGAGGTGTGCACACATCTGTGTGTTACTAGTCCCTAAATAATAGATACAACAAAAGTGTGCACAGAATTTGTCTGTATTAGATGTTAAAAGTAATATAGAGATGACCTGAAATAATGCATGCTGGATAGGTAATGCAAGTGTGCATATGTAATATGCAGATATGCTATGTTGCATAAGGGACTTGAGCACCCTTGGGTTTCAGTTAGGAGAGGGGCCTGAAGCCAGTCCCTCATGGATATGAAGCAGTGATTGTACAACAGAATCCAAAAGTAACGCTAGAGGAAATTTGCACTGTTGGAGAAGTGCAAGTAATTCACTCCAAGTGACTGTGTGTAGAATGTTCTAGAACTACTGTTCTCATCACTCTTCACCTGTCAATGAATAAAGCATGTGCCCTCAGTGCAAAAAGAGTGTTTTCACAAAGTCCATTAACTTTATGGGTAAGGGAATCTGCCCATGAAGAATTTTATTTTTTTCACTGAGAAGGAAAGTGTCGCTTCCCAATGTGAGTTTCTAAGTGAGGATTCTTGGGTAATGCTAATTAAGCATTGGGAAGTGGCACTTCCAAGATAGGCCAAGTGTATAGACCTGTACATAGTTATAAAATGCAGCATTGTCCATTATTCGGGAAAGTGTCTTAAGTCCAAAGACTAGATCTCTATTCCAGGATGACTGATGTTTAAGGGTAATTACCGCCTGCAGCCTATAGCTGAAACACAATCATCACTTGATATTTCCAGACAAGTTCTGCTTATGTTGAAGTACATCCTCTACGGTCTTTTTTCTTATCCTGAGATGTCAGTGTAACCACATAAAGAATAAGTAACTGATCCAATTGATAGCTCTCCACCACCGTATTATTTTGGTTTGGGTGTCATTCTCAAAGGACTCCATCAAATTTATCAAAGTGGTTTCAGTCCCTTTTTTATTGTTATACTTGGGTCTTTCAACAGTAATTAAAGTCATGTAAAAAAAAACACTTGGGACAACATTTGCACTCTTCCTGAGTGAGAGAAACCTTGGACTTTCTAAACTGGCCCTCGGGTACAAGACGTAAGAATAGCCGTAAAGATACTAAAGAGTGGCTGTAAAGACAAAACCAAAAAGAATGTGGAACTTGGGCAAAGGAATTTCAAGGCAGACAGGGAGTCAACAGTAAAGCCCTACAGACGAGCACTACAGGATAAAGAAAAATAGGTGCTTGCAGATTTCAACAAATGTTGGTAATGTCTAAGCAGTTGCAAAGGTCCAACAGTGAGGGAAGCAGAAGAATATAGCATGGAAATAAGGACGACAGGAAGTGTTCATTGCTCCTTCGAAGAACCCTGGTTTGTTTGGGTACAGTTTGCTTCAAGTGCTTCCACGTTTTAGGGACCAGAAACATCATTTGGTTACGAGGTGGAAGAAACTTAGAAATCAACTGATCAACTTGTAACCAGTGAGGAGAAACCCCAGAGATGTGAAGTGACATTTATTTTTAATTGGGATTGTTATGTATACATTCCATGGAATATACAAAATACATTTAAATCTTGAAAAAAATCTCTGAAGGTTACCAAAATAATTTTAAATAAAATACAACAATTAAAAGGGATAAAGGTTTTGTTTCAAAGTTTTCAAGGCCCTTGTATTTGGATTTATGTACTCATACTAATTTTCACCCTGAGCAGCTTTTTTTACTCAAACCTAGACCCTTGCATTGTATTCAAGGATACAGTTGCAACGATAGAGATAATCATAATCTTGGCTGTACTGATTATTTATTATGTGCCAAACATCACTTAGCAAACACTATCTCACTGCTCAGAACCCTTATTTTTTTATATTTTTAAATAATTTTATTGAGAAACAAATAGCAATGAGACAGTTTCAAAACCAATTAGTAGGACAGTTTCAATATTTAATACATTGCAGGGCTGGGGAGACAGCTCAGTAGAATAAGAGCTTGCCTGGCAAGCTCAAGGGCCTGAGTTCAATCCCCGGTTCTGCAAAAAATAATAATAATAATTAATAAATTGCATATTGTTTTCTTCTTAGTGGTTATTCATAGTACAAGATGCAGATATGATATCCTGTCCACAATCACTATTAGAACAAATCTTTCTATTCACTGAATTAAGAAAAAGTAGCTGTATATCTATCCTAGCTATTTTGAATATACAGATACAAAATGGTCCTTCATTTGTTTTTTTTTTAATTTATTTATTTATTAATGTGTGTGTGTGTGTGTGTGTGGCCAGCTCAGCCCACCAGGAGGCGGGGCCGGCTGGCATGTGGTGCTGGGGATTGAACCGTGGTCCCTGTGCTTTGCTAAGCTTGTTCTAAGTAGGTGCTTTAGACCACTGAGCCATCTCACCAGCCCCGGTCCTTCATTTGTATCCCCTTTTTTTGTTTAGTTTTGTCAGAGAAGGGTATTCCATTGTCATTTAAATATTTTTTAATTAATTTTATTAAGAAACAGCAATGAGACAGTTTCAAAACAGGTCAGTAGGACAGTTACAATAATAAATACAATGAATATTTTTGTCTTCATAGTGGTTATTCATAGCACAAAATGCAAGCATGATATCCTGTCCACTGTTAGTACAAATTTTTCTTCTCGTTTAATTAAGAGAAAGTAGCTGTAAATCTATCCTTACTATTTTGTATATACAGATACAAAATGGTCGTTCGGAACCCTTCTCATGGATGAGAAGAGTAGGTTTTGAAGGGCTAAAGTGCACTAGATCCAATACATTGACTCAAAGCTCATGTGTAGGATACCTTGCTTAACACTGCAGGTGGACCACTAAGGTACAGAAAAGGTAAAAACCTGGAGAGTTGGGTGAGATAGGTCATACCTCTGGGGCAAGGCAGACTCCAGTTTTAGCACTATCCGTCCATCACAGCGCCCCTGTGTGTCGCTTGTGTGTCCCTCTGACACACCTAGAAAAAAAATACCCCTAACAGACTCCACAAGTATGGACAGACAGATTGAGCTTCGAAGGAGTCTGACTCTTCGGCTTTCCGTACTGTGCGCCGAGGCTCCGCCCCCGGCCCCGCCCCTAGCAACGCCAGCGCGTGTTGACAACCGCCGGGATCCTGCACCTCCGTGCCTGGTGGGCTGCAGTGGCGCTATGAGGGCTGTTTCTCGGCGGCCAGGGCCGTAGTCAGACCCCTCGGACGTGTTGCGACCCTGGCGGCTCTCTGGCGGACTTCCCTATCTGGTGGCCGCCGTTAGCCCCCGCCCGCCGTGCCCACCGGGGAGGCCGCGGCGATGGCCGAGCGCCAGGACCCCAGCAGGAGGAGCAAGTCCAGCAGCCCCCGCCGCATTCCGGTGATCGCTGTGGTGCCCGAGGACCCAGAGAAGCAGGTGAGCACGGGGTCAGCGCTGCGCGGGCGGACCGCGGAGCGACGTCTGGGGACAGAGCCGGGGTCCCAGGGCAGCAAGGGTGGAAATGAGGACTCCCAGTGGAGACCCGCGGGGGCGCGGGCAGCGGGACGCAGCTCGTAGGCGCAGAGCCCATCCCCTGGGAACTGTCGCTTGCCAGTGCTGCTGGCTGCCGTCATCAGCCCGTCTGGGGACGTCTACAAGCGCCCTGGTAGACTGAGCGGGAGAGGTCTCCTGCTCTTTGATAAGTGTGGCTATGAGGAAACTGGGAGGGAAGGAATCATTCTCAGTGAATTTGATTTGACAGCCAGATCGCTTCATTCTCACGGGGCTTTCATCTGCTGATCCGTTTTCAAGCGATATTTTTGATAGAGAGATAAAATTGTCCCCTGCTTAAATTTGCTGCCACTGAACCCTGCACTCAGTGGAGCGCAGTGCTGTTGAAATTAGAAATTAGGCATAGTTTTCACTAGAAATTAGAAATTGTTATAGGGTGGGTTGGAGAGAATTAGGAAAGAATATTTATTATATTTGGCTTGAGGCTTGCTTTTGTTGTGTTTGCTTCTGTTACGAATACAAAACTGATTCTTTCAGATTGGGTTGAAAATTTCTCCTTATAAACCCTTGGTTGGGTCTGCATTCATGGCGGAAGTGTTTCGAAACCCCAGTGCCCTCTTTTCATGCTAGGATTCCACTGGTCTCCCCAGAGAGCCATGACCATGATTATAAGTATTATACGCGCTTATAACTATGATTCCTAAGGAAGAATTCTGCCCTGTCTCCAATTACTGGTGTGGGACCACTGTGGGAATTTCTGTTGAGGCTTCGTGAGTCTCAGGCTGCGTCAGGAACCGCGTCTCCTGGGTTCGAATCCTGCAGCGTTGGAGAGTTCTTCGGCAGTGGCCAGCTGGCTGGGGACCGCTTCTGTGGGAATAGGGTTGAACTCTCTGAGGACGGTAAGACGTTTGCACAGTAACCTGAAGAGCAACAGTGCTGTGTGAAGAGCAAAAGTGCCCGGGAAATTTCTCTCATCCATCCTGCGGAGGTACTCCCAGCCGGGTGGGGAGAAGAGCCCTGAACAAATTTAGCTGTCCACGCCGAAGACCACGAGGAAGCCCAGCGGTTCACCGTAGTCCTACGCTCAGAGCAAAACCGAGAAGTAGGTGAAATTTGCTAACTAATGGCTCCCGTTTTTCTATTACTAGGTGTAAAAAACATTGGGCAAGGTTATGGAATGTTAAAGGAAAAAAAGGAAACACATTTTCAGCAGGCTGTTGCAAAAAAAACAAATCGTTGATAATGTAAGAAGTACAACAAAGGAAATGTATTTGTGGTGTATGTATCCATGTATTTGTATTTTCCTTTTGATTTCTCTTCTTACATTACTACCTATTCCTTCTCCTGCCTCTGCTACTAGCAGTAGTTTCATTTAAAAAAAAGAAACACTGAGAAAAAAAGGCAGTTTCTAACTAAAGAAATGAAATGGCATAGGAATGTTTTAGAGCAGGGAGAAATCTAGTGCTCTCTCAGCCTTCTTATTTTTGTTCTGTTTTGTTTCTGTATGTCTGTGGTTGCTTTTACAACTGAATCCACTAACACTGTGAAAATTTAATGAACAGTTATTTGGTTCCTTTACTCATAAAGTGAATTCTAGTGTTCCCAGTAGTAGTTCTGATAATAACCTTCTTAAATCTGCCTCCTGTCACTTAAGGAAAGACCTTTGGAATTCTAAATGTTTGCTATACTTTCAAACCAGTCTACTTCGACACCCTGTCCTCTGCTTGTGCTTGAAAGACATTTATCTCAGTGGCTGAAAGTAAGGCAGAGTCTACTTCAGTTCTTTATGCCAGCTCCATCACTTACTTGTGTGGCAGAAAGCAGCATGTCCTAAGTCAGTGGAGATAACAGTATTGATGTCCATGGAAAAAACTAAATAAAATAATAGAGAACTATTCAGTATATTGAAAACATATAGTCTATCTACATTCATTAATATCATCCATTATCCAGGAAGGTAAAGCTCCTAAAATTAGTTTGACTCTAAGGCTAATAGATTATCTAGAATTATATTCACAGATGGAGATTCCCTAATATAAAAATGCCACCTTGGAGATCTATTTTATTTATTTATTTATTTATTTATTTATTTATTTATTTATTTATTTATTTTGAGACAGTTTCACTGTACAGTTCAGGCTGGCCTTGAGTTTACTTTGTAGCCCAGGCTGGTCTTGAACTCAGAATAATCCTCCTGCCTCAGCCTCCTAAGTGCTGGGATTACAGATATACACCACCATGCCTAGCTCAGACCTATGTTTTTTGTCTTGTTTTGTTTTGCGGAACCAGGGATTGAACTCAGGCCCTTGTGCTTGCCAGGGAAGCACTTATTCTATTGAGCCATCTCCCCGGACCCCCAGACCTATGTTTTTAATGGCTATTTTTCTAATTTTGCTTACTAGAGACCTAAATACAATCATTTTACTAACCCTAAACTGAGTTTATGTATTTCTTCAGTACATAGGCTTGAAAATTGTTGCCCAAGGCAGTGCATGAAATATGCAAGTTATTTTGTACATTTTAAATGTATGCTTTAAATTGTGTTATGGTTTGAGTCTGGGATTCTCCTTCCCAAAATTGCTGTCCTGATGCCCATCAGTTCTTTATGAAAGTGAGCGATTTTGTGTTTTTCACTACTGTATCGTAAGCACTTAGAACAATGCCTGATCCATAAGCACCCAAAAACTATCTGTAAATAGATGATCATTGTTAGCTGATCTTATTTACCCCCAAATCTTAAATTATCACTCTAATCCCATGATTCAGAACTTGTGTCCCAAATTTAACTGATTTCCAACCTCGTCACAGACTACTCCAGTATGCCCTATGGCCTATGGAGAGACCGTTCCTGTGATCCCTCTGACTGGGGGATTACCCTAACCTTTCTTCTTTCTTCCACCACATCCATCATTCACTAGGTCCTTCTCATTCAAACTCCTTGATTTTTTTAACCCCATACTGTGTCATCTATATGAGTCGCCAAAATTTTATCTGATTCAAGTTGCAGACTGGTATCCTACAGTCTAGACTGATCTCCTGCCATCTAGGACTCTCCAGCTTAGTATTCACCCAGCAGACAAAATGATCTTTTTATTATTATACTCTGCTGATTAAATCTTGTGGATAAATGAGATCATAGACCAAAGATTGTTGTAGGGAAGAGTCACCCACCATCATTTGCTTTGGTCAGACACAGAAGAAACAAAGGAAGAGTAATAGTGGGAGAGAAGGATCTCTGTGTTCTGACTGGAATCTTTAAGTTGTTTCTCAGGTTGGTCCTGACTTAGAAGCAGGGAGTACAAAAAAAGGGGGCAGACTGAGAGTTATTGACCAAATATTGACTTTTCTGGGCCAATTGTTGTACAGGTTGTGACTTGGCTTCCCAGGCTGGTGGCTGCAGAGGCGTGGGACAATGTTCATTTGTCACACGTCTATTTATATTTTTAGTCTCTCAAGATCGTCAGTGTTTTTTTAAGATCTCCAGTACCACATACAAGGCCTTCTGTAAAATTTCATTAAATATTGACACCTACTTGAGTTCAGGGAAATGTATACCCCATACCTAGCATATTTCCTGAAACAGGACCTGCTAATAAATCTTTGTGGAAGCAGAAAAAGGCAAAGGCAAAGGAAGATAAAGGGAGGAAGAACTATTTAAAAATATGTCGGAGTAACAGGGCTCTGAACTATGGCTGCTAGACAAGGCGTGGGGGGTGTAGAGTTGGGCTGCGACTACTGTCACCTCCAGAAAAGGATCAGTGTGTTTTCAGGAAATGCCGAATCGCGAGTCTTGCTCTCAATAACCTGCTTATTTGTTGCTAGCAACTGGACAATGCTAGAGCTACAAAACGAAGGAAAGAAGTTGAAACCTTTAAGCACCCGATTCAGGATCCGGAAGCAGTTCAAGATTTAGATAGGCATTCAGATTCTGAACAAGGAAAATACTTAAATTGGGATGTTGTTTTCAGATTTTTATAGAAATGTATTCAGAAAGAAACAGAAAGTCTTAGAACCACAAAACCAAGTGTATCAGTCTCAACACAAACCTCCAGACAGAAAAAAATGCAAGAAATCAGTAGTTTGGTCAGATATTTCACCAAATATGCGAAGAAAAATGCCAGTTTGTACGGACAGCTGCAGGACTTATTGGAGACTTCAACAGAGACCAGGGAATGCTACACTGAAATATTGTGTACTTACTTTTGCCTTGTGTAGTAGCTTTGTATTATATACTGATAAACACTGCATTCTTGTCTAGTAAACATTGGGACTTTAATGTGTACAGGTTGACTGAGACACCTGTACTAATTTTGTAGCCCACCGGAAAAGTTTGTAGATCACAATTTTGCCTTTCTGCAAAAATAAACCTTCAATTGTAAAACTAATAATGGAAATCTCACATGAAAATGTGTCACTATGCTGGTTTATAAGAAAGAATAAAATTATCAATGCAAGAACAAAAAAACTATGTCATGCACATAAGATACAAATCAACATGAATTGATAATGCAAGATAAATCCAAAAGGAAGCTATTCTTTAGTCTTTACTATACCTGATTTCTTATCAAAAGTTGTATGTATCTACTGGGGAGTCAGGTAATATAGGTAGGTATTAAAAAGAAAATCCTACATTGACTTTTCATTTCAATATAATTATCTAAGTCTTAAAAGTAAATTTGCAAGGCGGTTGGGGAGATGGCTCAGTAGAATAAGTACTTGCCTGGCAAGCCCAAGGACCTGAGTTCAATCCCCAATTCTGAAAAAAAGTTAACTATTGCAGAAAATGAGAAAATAAAATCCTATGGTATCTATGCATATAATCTGAGACTACAGAAGGAAAAGAGAAAAGACAACTGATGCCACTGGCACAGAAAGACATGTGAATCAGTGGAACAGAATAGAAGATGCAGAAACAACTCTAGCCAGATTCAGCTATCTAATCTTTGACACAAGCCAAAAGCACATGCTGGAGGAAAGGTAGCCCTTAGCAAAAGGTGCTGAGAAAACTGGCTATCGACATGCAGAAGATTGAACCTGTATCCTTGCCATATGCTAAACTAAAATCAAAATGTAAATGATCTAAATATTAAAGCAGAAACAATCAGTAGAAGACCTTGAAAACATAAAACTTTATGAGGCAAGGATTTTCTGAATAACACCTTAATTGTATAAGAAATAATATAAGAATTAACAAATGGATGTACAGTAAATTAAAAAGCTTATAGACAACAGAGGAAACAGCCAACAAAGTGAAGAGACAGCCTAGAGAATGGGGAAGAAAATTGTCAGCTACAGCTTAGACAGAGAACTAATACCTAGAATATATAAAAACTCAAAATATTATATTCCTCAATTTAAAGATCCTATCAAAAAATTGGGCAACCAAAAGGAAGAAGTACAAATGTTCAACGAATACTTGAAAAACATGTTCAACACCTCTGGCCATTAAAGAAATTCAAATTAAAACAACACTGAGATTCCATCTTACTCCCAAAAGAATGGCCACCAGCAGGAAATCCAAAAACGATAAATGCTGGCAAGACTGTGGGAGAAAAGGAGCACGGCTACATTGTCTGTAATCGTAAGCTAGTACAATCTCTATGGAAATCAAAGTGGTGACTCCTCAAAATGCTGAAAATAGAAGTTCCACTCAACCCAGATGTTCCCCCTCTAACTATCTTCTCAGAAGAGTTAAGGCCTGCTTAGGCAGAGCCCAGTGGCCGGGGTTCGATCCGCAGCATATTGTGCCGGCCACGTCCCCAGGGCGCGCTGAGAGGGAGATTGAGACTGGCTGTGGTGCACACCTGTAATCCCAGTGCTTGGGAGGCTGAAAACAGGAGAACCACTATGAGTCCAATCTAGATAGAAAGACCCTTCTGTAGGGACTTAAAGTTCAACATATCAATACTTGATGGAAAAATACCTGTTCCATGTT